TTTTTGTTCAACTGACTAGAAAAGGGTTGATGATTTTTCTAAGCTGATGACCAGCAAGTTTCAGATGAGCATGAATAAAGAGATTAATTTATTTCTAGGTCTTCAAGTAAAACAGGTTCCTCAAGGAATCTTCATTCATCAACAGGAATACACCTCGTAGCTGCTGAAGAAATATTCAATGGACAACTGTTCCTCAGCCAAAGTTCCCATGGCCTTTAGATACAAGATCTTTGCTGATCTTACCAGAGAATCAACGGATCATAAAACGTCTCGTGGAATAATTGGTTCATTAATGTATCTGACCGCAAGCATACCAGATATTGTCGTTTCCACAGGCTTATGTGCACGTTACCAAGCCGATCCGTAAGTATCTCATCTCACCGCAGTGAAGCAAAATTTTAGATATCTTAAGGGAACCAAAGCTCTTGGTCTCAGGTATCCAGGTGGAAACAACTTCATCCTTCAAGCATTCACTGATGCGGATCATGCAGGATGTCGTTTAGATAGAAAAAGTACTTCTGGTGGCTATCAATTTCTCGGAGGAAGACTGGTTAGCTGGTCTTCAAGGAAACAAAACTACGTTTCTATGTCTACCGTAGAAGCTGAGTATGTGGTTGCAGCCAGCTGTTGTTCTCAAGTTCTTTGGATGAAAACTCAACTAAAGGACTACGGATACAGAATGCCGCAGATACTAATTTACTATGACTCTGAGAGTGCTATAGAAATTTCACACAATCCTATTCATCACTCAAAGACCAAGCACATTGAACTCAGGTATCATTTCATCAAAGACAATATTCTCAAAGCTTACATTGAGTTGATTTTTGTTCCAACTCTCGAAGAAATTGTTGATGTATTCACTAAGGCACTCGATGCAACTAAATTGAATCACTTTTTAGAAATGTTAGGAATGATGAATCCTAACCCGCAATTATTCTTGAATTGTTAGGTATCGCAGACCATCTCTGGTCTCTGTTATGGTCCTAAAATAATATACTTATCACTTATGCTTACTGGTCACCTAGTGAACTGCAACCATATATGATATCTATATTATTTGGTTCTTTACTTTCTTTTATTACTAACCTTTTATTAAGTGTTACTGTCAGTGTCTTCAATCCGCACTCCAGCATTCACCCACAGTTATTGGATCCATCCGCACTCAAGATTTCACCCGCAATCACAGTTAATGCTTTTTTCATACCCCTCTCTGATTGTTGTGTTCTATTTAATATTTTCCATTAAATAACAATTCTTCCATTAAATTTTCAAAACATTCTTTTTGTAGCACTCTTCTTTTTAGTTCTTTTCAAATAAGGCCTTTTTCATCTTGTCAAGCCTATTTTAGATTATGTGACAAATAATTTGTTTATCCCATAAAAGTAATCTTTTAAGAAATCCTTTGGCCTTCTTCTATCATTTCCTCCCACACAAGATGTCAAATTGGTTTCCACTTCTCCCTTTATCCAATAGTTTTTCTTAATCCTATGGACATGATCATCGCCGTGGGCTGACATTCATTTAATGTCCTTTTTAAAAAATAAAAATAAAGAATATATTAAAAAAAAGGAGCAGGTTCTTTCGTTTATCTTATTTGTGGTAGAGATTTTTACAATTCACAGTTGTAAATAGGGTAAATACAATAAATGTTTCAGACCCGATCATATATAAACCCTTTCTCCCTCCCAAGAAAGCTTTAAGCTTTACGCTTTCTGGACTCTCAAGCGATAACTCTCACTTCTCCTCTCCTTGCAATCTCAATTGTTTTCTCTCCAGCTTCCTAAAGCTTTTCAAATCAACAATGGTGAAATCCAATGCTTCAAAGAAACAATCGAAGGCTATTGCCTCTGCTCGACCAACTTGTTCAGACACCACAACGAAGCACTCCTCTCCTTCAATTACATCCCACAATTTTAGGTCAATCTTTGAAGACCACCCTTTATACAATGCATCCATCTACCTCATGATCAAGTTCATCAAGCATCATCGACTGTGTGGAACTTTTGATGCATTCACATATGTGGTTCTAATGTCTACATTGTTCAAATGAGCATTCTCAGCATACCGCCCCCTCGAAAACCCTCAAGAAGTTCACTTGAACTTGGTGGACGACTCCTTGCTCATCTTGAACAAAGACAAATTCCTTACTGCAATTAACCTGTTGATGCATCAGTCCACAAAGTTCTTCTCACCAAGTGCTACAAATACCATCTCCTCACTCTACCAAATGGGCTATCAAAAGAAACTCAAGGGAATCAGCGAGTTTAAAAAGAACCAGCTCAATGTTGTCTGGCAGTTTGTTTGTCACTTCATGATCCGTAGTCTCTTAGGAAGGACCAGAGGCACTGACAACATGGGCCTCAAGCTACTAGAATTGGTTTGGAGCATCTTTACTGGTCACGACGTCAACTATGGTCAAATCCTTTGAGGCAATTTCCTCTAGTACTGTGATAACCCGATATTTCAACTACATGTAAACGACCTAAAAAGTCAAGTATTGTAACCACATTCGTTATAATAAAATTAACTTCGAAAATAAAATATCCAAAAATCACTAATTAAATTACCTATTATGTTAGATGTCATTAAACCGTGATCGTACGTAAAAAGAACGTCCAAATCCGACTTCGTATAATAAAGTTAGAAATTTTCCAAGTTCGGCTTAACGACAGAGGGCTAAAAACTCGAATCAGAGATCGAGCGACTTTTGGCTGGAATGACCTAAACTAGAATTGAAGGTCTCGACAATGGTATTTTAACGGTAAAAAGTCTGGCAAACACTGATGTCAGATAAAGAAGTTATGAATTTCTAAAGAAATTTTCTTACCGCGACCTTTTCAAAATAAATAATAAAAATAATTTCAAAATTTGCCAACGGGATCTAAATGAAAGTTGTAGAGTATGGTCTCACCTACGCGTGGATATATAGAACGTTGAAAACAGAGTTCGTATGAAGAAGATATGGGTTTTTGAAGTTTATTAAATAATAAATATATATTTTTTTATTGAAATCTTTGGTATTATCCGAAGGCTGAGTCATGCGAGTACGCCCAACGTACGCGGTTACGCCTAGCGTACTCGAGGCCGTGGCCTCGGATCGTCCACGTCACGCCCAATGCGACACTATGCCCCGTCCCATCCAAGCTCAGAGGCAGTCGAGGATTCGGTCATGCGTGACGCACGCGTACGCCCAGCATATTGAGGCGGTTCCCAGCCCCTATAAAAGGGATGCGAGGGTTCCGAAGAAAGGGCACCATTTCTCTCATTTCTCTTGCGTTCTTGCCTCGTTTTCCGTGCCCATGCTACCACGAATCCCCGATCACTTTGCTCAAGTCCCGAAGGTCATTTGTGCTCCCGAAATTCCCGAGAATCCCGAGAAAATCCGCTTTCTCGAGTCGAAATTCTGTCCGGTTTTCATCCCGCCTCCTCCGATCTTTCAAGTGAGTTCATACCCCTATAATTCACATTTTTAAATGTTTTATGAGTACTTTTATATGCTTTTAAGGGGGGAATACAAGTAAAACACTCGATTATTATTGTGTGTTATATAAACTTTACTATATATGTTTTATCAAAGGAATCATATGTGATTTATAACTATTATAGGGAAACTTTCATATGCAAATCATACCACGACAATGTTTATTCTTTTGCAATGAGAAATGATTTATGTATTTATATAAATCAGACACTCTGCTTATACTATATTTATGTGTGTCGGTTTTGGCACTACAAAAACTATATTTTTCATAACAAGTGAGCATTTTCACTAAGAGTTTATTATACAAACAAAACACACTTTTAGGAAACTATAATAGGTATAGTTTTACGAGAATACTACGAAATTTTACGTACATGGAAATACTATTTCAAGAAGCGACTTTCATATACAATAACAAACGAACATTTTCACACGTAAATCTGTTTTATACTAACTTTTGTGAGACATTCACTATTAGAAAAACAGCCTTTTACGACGCTCATTGCGCGTTATAAAAGGCTCAGACGACGCGCAAATGCGCGTCAAGGAAGGCCCTGTCATAAAGAGAGACGACGCGCTTTTGCGCGTCCTCTATAGACGGCGCGCATTTACGACGCTCATTTACGATGCGCAATTACGACGCGCGTTTACGACATGCAATGCGTATCAAGGAAGGCCCTGTTATAAAGAAAGACGACACGCATTCGCACGTCGTAACCTTACGACGCGTGTGTTAATGACACGCAATGCGTATCAAGGAAGCCCCTGTCAAGAACGGCCATGTCATAAATGAAGATGACACACATTCTAGCGTATCGTAATTTTAAATGTTAAAAAAAATATTATTTATAGATTTACTAATTTTCAAATTAAATTTTCATTTAATGTCTCATAACAAAAAATAAAATACTATATACAAAAAATACAATCCATTGCATAAAATTTAATATCATACAAATAATCGATCCTTAGAAAGATAAAACAAATCAATAGAAGTTGTTTTCTCCCTATACATGATTATTACATACTAAATAACAAACTTTATTTCATATTCATACATATGATTACATTATTCATTAAGAAAAACATATACCTACAGCTAGACTTGGAAGATCCATGTTAGTGTCTTTTGAATTAGAAGGATAACGATTTTGGAAATTGTAGAAGGATTGTGAAGGAAGTGGTGACAGAATTCCTCTAGGGTTTACAGAAATCTGCAAGGAGGACTATGGAGGAAAGAAGGAATAAAAAGAAACATGAAAACATAAAGATCATCAACTAGATAATAGAAGTCAAACCTTTGACCACTTCTTTAATGATACCATATAACATATCCAAGTTCCATAAAGTTTCAAAACTGCATGAAAACATTATATAGGAGATTAACACATAACACTTAATAGTGTCTCCTGTTAATTAAAATATGACATGTAAAATGTGGTTTACATGCAGTTGAGAATAAATAGGTCGTTTTCTAGTGACTTGAGAATATGCCAGTGGTAAAAAAAGTAGTTGAGGATTACGTTCCTCCGAAAAGTGTAGTGTAGGGCTACATTGATAATCTCATGACAATGTATAGCATTATACTTACAAATTTTTACTAACCAGGACATTCTCTCTCTCTCTCTCTCTATATATATATATATATATATATATATATATATATATATATATATATATGTTGCTGTATAACCAACCTTATTCATTGTTGCCATTGCCTTGGTAGCACCTTTCATCCCAACAGCCACAAAAGAGTGTGCAACTAATGCCTGGGAGAAGTTAAAACCATAGAAAGTCAATCCTGTGGTATAATTTATTTATGACAAAAAAGAAACAAGTTGCCATTTGAAAATTTACATGTGTATGTGTTGTTATGCCCCTCATTTGAGCCCGACTACTTTGTAGGTTGGCTATTTGTTGTCTAAGCCTCACCAATTGGCGTGCCAAAATCTTTGTTAATGCCTGCATAAACCAAATGTTAATGCACAAAAATTTCATCTTCTTATAATCAACAAAATTTCATCTTAATATTCTTATGTGTTGGTGTTAGTTCATATGGGCTCAAAAACAACCTGATTGGTATCGATTCACATACAACATATATAACTTCATTAATCAACTCTAATTAATCAACAAATATATAACAACCCATTGTTTCACAAGCAGATAGCCTCCGAACCTGCACGTGAAAAATTACCAAAATGCCCCTGAGAGATTTATAGTAAACAAAATTATAAAACTTACCAACGCTTTATCCGACATCATTTTTCGCAATGAGTATGCTAGCCTGTAATTATGAGCAACATGATTTATATTTTATTAATCAGAAACTCATTTAAAAGAACTGGATTAATAATTATAAGAAAATGTTCAACTTACGTTAATGTGACAACTAATGGAAGTCCTTCTGGAACCGCAACAACAACAATCATGACCTAAAGATTCATCAAATTAGAAGAAGGGTAAAAAAGGAAACTTAATAGAAATACATGAAGTAAATACTAGTTGCTAAATACATTCTGCAATAGTGAAACTTTTGATTGCTCCATCAACAGCATCCCCAAGACTAGTTTTCCCAGCAATAAACTCCACTTGATCCTTATCGTCCTTTTTGTGTCCGGTAAAAAACCTAACAAACAAAATTTACCATTTTAAAAGAAAGAATGAGAGGTGAAATGACAATTATACCTATGCAAATTTGAATTAATTACCTTATGAGAAGGATGACAAGAACAGATACAGCCACCACACCTGGGGAGACGTTTACATCTGAATTCATTCTCCCCCCCCCCTCTCTGTAACACCCTCACCACCACATCTGGGGAGACGTTTATATCAACCTTCTTGTACAATCTTGCATAAGCTTCCCACCTCTTTCTTTGAGAAGAAGATCTTCTGTCCGCAACTGCTTCAGAAGCAGCGAGTACGAAGCTCGCAACCACAAGCAGATCCCTTCCATCATCATCCACTATGAATTGTAGGAGGTGTCATCAAACCATGTCATGCATTAATTAAAAAAAGAAACATGATTTTAAATACCTGACAATTACTGCAGCAAACAAATGGCTTCCTTCAACTCTAAGGACCAGATCTCTTGGTTTTTGAGACCTATATTTGTGAAACATATCATCTTCAACTGGACTTTTATCTTCCATGTCATTCGAGAGATATGAGGATGATGTAATCTCTGAACCAATGACATTGCTCTTCGTAGACAACTTATTACCAACTTCTTTGTAAAGCCAATGGGCAGCAACTCCATGCTCAACATATTCATGCATGCTCTATAAAAAAAATTTTTTATCTATATATATATATATATATATATATATATATATATATATATATATATATATATATATATATTGTATACCTGCGTTCTTATTTAGACTTCCAAGGGTGAGTTTTCTGGACCATGCACTGCAGTATGCAGAGACCGTATAAAAAGAGAGTCAGAATTTGTGGGCATTGACAAAAAGAAGAGATAAGAAGGAAACGACATGCATTACTCACACAAATATGAAAAGGTATACCTAATATCAGCAGCATACAAAAAAGTATAGTGAGATAGATCTTTACCTGATATCGGCCTGACTTTGGATTGACAATGTAATCGTCACACTCGCCATCAATTGGTGTCCAAAGCCTGCAGAAGATGAACCAAACAACTTTTATTTATATTACACATCTGTCACTTACTTATAAATTGAGTAAGAATTTTTTTTTTCTTCTTGTCTGGGCATAATAAGTTTTAGCATGTAGTTATCCATTTTATGCTACTTATATAAAGTATAAACTTGTGTATGATATTTAGAAGACTGTAGCAACACTCGACAGTTTGTCCATGTAAAGTTCCACTTTTATCTCCAACAATTACTCTCAGTGCACGCGCATCATATACTTTATCAATGCTCACATCTTTACGATTCATCTGAGAGAAATATTAGCATAATCATCTACATAACTGAATCATGTATTCTTTCTAAGATTATTTATGGAGATCACTTATAGCTACCTTACTATAAATGCTATACAAACTTTTAAGGCGGCTAGATAAGGTTACCTCCATTCCAGGAACATAGCTGCACAGGTAAGAATGACAAGCACACCAGAGTCAAGGCAGGGTAAACAAGACTGAAGGCTGAAGATCTATCTCACATGATCTTACGAGGTTGATATAAACAACTCGCATTCTAGTTCTTCCTCACAAACGACCAGAGATGCTAGGGCAATCCCAACATCCCTCACGACTTTTGGTTTTTTTTGGACCTCTGAGCATGACCCTGGATCTTGAATATATTTAATACGTTTTCTTCGATCAAGCAGGAGATCAAATGGAATAACAGCCTGCAAAAGATCCTGTGGGTTGAAAAAAGCAGTCACCAACTCATATCCTAATTAAATATATCTAATGGAAAGTCAAACACCTAGTAGTGTATATATATAAGGGGAAGAAATGAGGGGGGAATTACCTTCATGCTGACTACGACATCTTCTGTTGATGCTTCATACTCAGGATTTGAGCTACTTTTGGCTGATAGACTTCTCAGGTTGCCTACCTTGCTACTGCTGCTGCTGGGTGTCCACAAGGAGGCCAGGTCAGATCGCATTTGCTGGAAGATCTGAGGCTGCACACACTACAAGTATTAGTTGGAATCTTATTTTAGCACATGCAACATATGATTCGATCATTAGTTGCGTAGAATAAAAACTTGAGATAAATATCATGCATTAGAGCACATTCATGACTCATCACTAAATTAGATTTATAGTGTAGAAACCACTGACCTGAAGAACAGCAAAACAGAGGTCTTCAAGTTCAGCTTTTAAAGCCCAATGGCCCAATCTGGAAGCAAGAGAGCACCAAATGACCAAAGTATCCCGTGCTACAGCTTTAGCCTTGCCCGAAGGTAGAGCATAACTGAAAGCAAGAGAGTGTAAACTGTAAGTTAAAGCATTGCAGTGAGTGAATAACTTATTGAATAGAGTGGTAAACCTCCCTTGACAAAAAAAAAGAATGAATTTTCTCTACTTTCCAAGACCTTTACCAACCAATGAACAAGAGAAGTAACAGTGAAATTAAAATCACTCGAGTTTGAAATGGAATTATCAGAAATATTTTTCTTTTCGGGATCATGCAATGCAAAGATTCATGGTAGATATGGAAACAAGTCATACATGGTTCTCATGTTGTGTAGACGGTCTGCAAGCTTGATTAGCACCACACGTGGCTCATCAACCTGTGCAATTTGATTAACTTCATTGATTGAACCTTTGGATTTAAGTACAAATTTATGGATGTTGCAAATACAAAGAGTCCAAAATCAACAAAATGTAGTCAATACATTATACTTACAAAAACACTTCGTTGTTTCTGCATATATGTTTGCTAATTTTCTATTATTTCAAAGTGGGATACAGATGAAGCATCTTTTGGAACTACTCCTGCTAGGAAATGTATATGGATGTCCCGCCCTTCAAGCAGATTCCCTTATCCTTCTCCACAACCCAGATTAAGCTTTGCTTCCCTTGCTCTTACCTAATAATAAAATTAAGTAAATAAACAAACACACACTTATATAGATAGCAATTGAAGAGGAGATACCCAAGTCAATGCAAAAGAAACAGTGTAACAGATTGCCCAAAAACAACAAAAACCACATTGCTTACCAATTTTAAAAAATAATGTGTATAGAAATAGAAAACAGGAGATATTGAAGGAGCTCGTGCTGCATTTCAGCTTTGTGATACTTCTGAATCTGATTCATCTTTCATTGAAACCCCAATAAAAGAGGCTAATATGTTACAACCTCAGTTATCAAACTTGATAGATAAATTTCAACTTGCTGAAATTTGTTCAGAGCTTAAATACATCACAATGGAGGACAAGAAAAAAAATGGATTATAATATTCACGTATATATAATTAGAAGATATATAGAAAATTCGAATAAGCATCAATCGAACCTGTAGTTGCTGTCGGGACAATAGGAGAGGAGGGAGAAGATGAAATTGAGATCACTTAGTCTTTTACGAAGAAGGACTAGCGCTTCCTCTGCTATTCCCCGACCCATTGGGCTCATCCGTACACTTTCCTCTCCGAGTCTCCGGTAGACTTCAACTATGAATCCGGTGTGAGAATACAGGGTTCTTGATTCCTAGGGTTATAAGAACTCGTAGAACCAAAATCCCCTATTTCCCAAAAATACATCTTCTCACATACCAAGGCGCTTTCCCTTGATCGTTTCTGAGCGTCAAAAATGGGGCGAGCATGTATTTGGGCTTTCTGCAAAAGATTGAAACAAAGGAATTTGAGGTCAGGTGAGCATGAGATCGTTAATGAGGAGAAGTGAGCAAGGGGTTGCCGGAAGGTGAGGCCAGGTCGCCGGATCGATGCTATAGAGCACTGAGTGAGCGAGTGTTTTGAGTCTTAAAATAGCCCTAGAATTAATATCAATATCGGTTCGTGTGATCTTGTTATTCGACCCTTTTATGTTCGCCATCTCCCTCTTCCTTCTGCTCTGTTAGATTAAGAAAGGTGAAGTGAGATAGCAGTCGATGGTTTGCAGAGAAGATGGTTTGAGGTGTAATGGCACGATCTGGTGCTTCTAGATATATTGATGGTGGTTGTTGTTACGGTAGAGATATCAACAGTATCGTTATCTGAAGCGGCGGCCATGAAGACGAAGGCCCTAGGGCTTTTTCTTGCTAGTTGGAAGAGGCGGGGGGTTTAATTTTTGGGATTCAATAGGTGGGTGAAATCCCGCCTTAAAAACACGTGTTTCATTAAAATTATAAAGCAACACATTTAGAGGATGCACATTTTATGAAAGGCACCCTCCGCATTTATTTTTTTTTCTTTTCTAACACTAATTTTAGGGCACGCACAAATGCGTGTCTACTATCCTTCAAATTTTACAAAATTGACATTATTTTTCAGGGCACATACAAATGCGCGTCCTTTATCAGCGAGTGTCATTGTTTGCGCGTCATTAAAGGGCTATTTTCTAGTAGTGATTTAATTTCACGTACGCACGAGTACACATTTCAAGTCATGTATTATATACCAAAATCCCTTAGAGGGGGAGCATGGTGTTTGTGTATTGATCTATACGGGCTTGACAACCCCGCGCCCTGACTGTTAGCTACAGTACACCATTTGAGGTGACAAACGTCAGAACATTCCAACGCCTGAAGAACGTTGTGTATAGGCATTCCTTGTCAATAGCATGGTTATAAAACTCACATAGAGTATTAAAAACACATTGATTTACGGGGGTTTTCAGATATAATGGAGGTTTTATACATACATAGGTTCATTTATTTTAGGCATGAAAAACCCAATTGTGATATAAGTTTGGAACTTCTAACCACTACTCATAGATGGAAAAACATCAAGTTTTGAACATATATTGGTCTTGATTTAAGGCTATGTTTATACCAGTAGGAAATATGGGATTTTCTACAGACTAACGAACAAAAACGAACCATTTCATTTTCATACAAATACTATCATTAAATGCTTATGAAACTCACCAGCTTAAATGCTGATCTAATCTTTCAAAACTACTTGTATGTCCTAGGGACTCAGTAATTACAGGTACTAAACATCTTTTGAAGAAGGAACGATGTGGCACTAGTTCAAATTCATATTTTGACATCATATTGTAATTGGTTTTGAACATGTACTCTTTTAAACAATGTAAACTTTCAATTATATATATGGTGGTTGTTACCACATGAAGTCATCCGCCCCCGAACGTTTCCGCCGTTCCGGTTTGGGGGTGTGACAAGTACATTCCCAAGGAGCATCCAAGAGAAAGCCCCATCGAGATCACATTTACAAGGTTCTGGTCTGTTTGCATTTCAGACCTTCATCAAGATGCCAATCTCAACATGGGTAACGATCTCAACCTCTTTATCACAAAGGATCTTAAAAGGTACGCTCCTTCCAAAGATCAATCTATCTTTGGACCCATTAGACGCTTACCCATTTACATCCTGACTATGATTGGACTTGAGACCAAATACGTTACGAATCATATAGAGATTACAGAAGGTATTGACCCATACCTTTCTATCCCGCCTCTACTTAGTCAGAACATACTTGCCTCGACCGCACCCCACAATCTAGAGCGTACCACAACTCTATCTTCTACCACTCAATCCTCTATGCCTCTAGCCAAAAGGCTTAAGCGACTGGTTTCATCCAAGCAAGGACCCCGGAGAAAGTCCAAGTCGAGTGGTACTCCCACTAATTGTTCAGCACCGAAGCCAGCAGAACCCTCCAAGAAGAGGAAGCTCAGATATGTAGTCTCTTCAGATGAAGAGTACCAATCTCATCACTCTCCTACTGACTCTGATGATGACAAACTACCTATCTCTATTCTCAAAAAACGCAGAACCACCCAAAGTCCTAGCCAAATACGCGAATGGACTGATACCACAGTCTCTCAATAGACTCTGGTAGTCCTTAGGGCTCCCACATGCCCATTTTCTACAACCCTCTCCAGCTACTCGGGCATAATAAGTGGGCACGATTCATCTTCTCGCTGAGACACAACCCTAGTTCAATCCCAAGAGGATATGGATGGTTCCTGCCCTAAGGTCTCCAGGGCTTCCCGACTTCATTTCTTTACCCCTGAAGAGTTGAACTCTATCCTTTTGTCTGTCACCAAAAGACTTGATACACCTTCCCCACTGCAGGGCAATTCTTCAGGCCTCGCCGGAACTAAGCCGAGGCCAAACTTGACTACGGGTAAAGGAGACTGAGGAAGCTCAGGAAATCCTACTCTGCTTCCCTTATGATCAGGTGGTTCAGGCACGGTGAGCACCAATGTGCCAGGATCCATGAACCCCGGGGAAGCCCGGTGCACAATCAAGGATTTGATGGATACAATTCTGATGACTCTTGGATTCGATATAAACCAACTACCGATTCCGAAGTTAAAAAATATGAAGCTTTTCGCAGGGCCTTCATAGCACGCAAAGATCAACAAACCAAGCAGCAACAACAAAAAGAGTAGGAGATTTAGACAATCTCAAAATACTGGTCTAACGTAATCAACAATCCCAATACTGTTGCCACCATCCTGAAAGTTCAAGACTGGATAACCTCCATGGCTGACATAATCTGTAATGCTCAGCCTATTCTAGATACTGTAAGTCCATCCAAGCCCATTCAACCACAGCCTGTTCCCAATTCTCAAGATGACAAACCCACAATTACTGTCAGCTCTAGCCCAACCTTTGGTTTTGATGATTTTCATGTCAATGAGATCAACCAACTGAAGAAATCAGATGAATTTGTTAGGATCTTTGATTAAGAAAAGGAATCCATGTGGCTCTCAACATTCCATCTCTAAACCCAAAGAGAATAAGAAAAAGAAAGCGGCAGTTACTCGCAAGGAATTCATGTCCTTGCAATCAAAGGTTGATGCAATCCTCACTGCAGTTACCACTAACTCTTATTCTTCCAATGCATATGTCTCTACACCTCAATCTCTGATTGACCGGTGTCACACCCCAAAACCATGAATGGCGGAAACATTCTGGGGTGGGGGACGTCATGTAAAGTATCACAACACAATATAACAGTAAATAAGCAAACAACATCATCCATTGCATTAAATATATAATTTTAATACAAGCGTGTTATGTACAATTATAGACACCAAAAATAATGTAAATCAAAATAATAAGATGAGTCTTGGATGTGCTCCATCTTCTCAAAAGCTGGCCTTGGTACCTGTCTACCGATGACCTGCGAATACAAGTTATTTTGAAAGAGTTTATCAGCATTAAGCTGGTGAGTTCATAAGTATTTTAGTGTCGGTATTTGTCATCCAAAAACTTTTGAACATGTCTCAAGTGTAAGTTTGTAAAATGTAAGTAAATGTTTGTAAGCGTTTGTACAAGTTTGAATCTCTAAGAAAAACCTATATTTTCTATTAAAGTAGCCTTCTACCAAGGCTTAACTGTTTTGTATGCTCGTTTGTTGTAAAAGTGTATAATTTCCCAAGTGTAACTATCATTTAACAAAATATAGTTTGTACATTAAAGTTTAAGTGAAATAATCACTAAAAGTATGTAATGGGTGAATTATTGTAGTACTGTAGTGTTGTATTATAGGAACTACTGTTGTACTAACTACCTTAAACCGGATTTATATTAAGGTATCATGTGATAAATTGCACCATACTATCGACTAGTAACAATGACATACGAATGGTCGTAATAACGGAATGACGTTTGGCACCCGCAAACCTGCAGGTCCGGCTGTAGCTAGCAGCAAGGTGTAGGATAGTCAATCCAGTATAGATCTATATGCAAACTCACGCTCTCCCTCCAAGAGAATTCTGGCTACAACTCGGGCCATGACATTTAAGGCATGCTCCGATACAGTGGATCACAATTGTTAACGTGTTCTTGTATATGTAATGTAATGAACTGTTCTAGTATAGTTGTATATGTTCTTCCTCTACTATAGTTGTATATGTTCTCTGTCTAGTATAGTTGTATATGTTCTCTTTCTAGTATAGTTGTATAAGTACTCGTAGTAATAAGTATTGACTCATGAATGAACTGACTCATTTATCTAGAAATTGTAGTAGTATGATCCTATGTTACCCCGATGGTAACTTACTGATGATGTACTGATAAGTATGAATATGGAAGTACTATTATGTCTATACATGTATATTTGATATATAACTAATATTGAAACGACCTTCGGACGACTACCCGAAATCCCACCAGACCACATCTCAAGCGCGAAAAGGAAATAGGGTGGATGGCCTTCCTAAGCCCTTTAAACATTTCTTATATATCGATACATATATGGGCATGCAATTTATAAGAAGTAAAACAATGTTTAGTAAAAGCATTTGATAAGTAAAAGAGTTTGTAAAACATTTTGAAGTAAAACAGTTTGATAAACAGTTTGAACATTGATAAAATCATTGGTTTTCTAGTTACTAATCGCATGTGATTAATGTAATCACATGTGATTGATGTAATAACTATAAGTATTTAACTTGTATTCCCCCCCTCCTAAAGTATTTAAAATATTTAA